GAACAATTTGATAAAAATGGTAAAAGAAATAAATTTTTTCAAATAGAATTTCAATTTTCACTTCTTTTCTTTTTTAGTATTATTACCAACAAAGAAAATTCGTCCTCGACGAAATTTATCAGTACGTTCTATGATTTATCATATTAATAATATAAATTTTCTTTATTAGAACTTAACGATTGGTATTTGTCCGTTTCATTCTGTTCGAGGTAGGTTTGATCAAATTAATTATTTATTTCATTAAATTTCATCATATTTTTAGTCGTTATTAATTTCGTTTTTTTGCGAAACACAATCTAGAAGAAGTGTTGAAATATAGGAGTAAAAAGTTTAGACTCCTACAGATTGTCACAGACGCTTGCCAAAAGTCATCGCAGATCCTACGAAAAGCATGTGGTAGCAAAAGAGTTATCGCGCAGATTTCGAAAAAAAACAGCGAAATCTTTAATTTGAGACAAGTTAAAAAAAATATCTAATCCGATTAAGAAATAAAAAAATGTATAATACATAGATATCATGTAATGGTAAATACCAAGTAGAGAAATCAACTATGAAAATGAGAAATTCAAATTTATTTTTTTCGAATTTTTAGTTACTAGCGAAGAAAAGATCCACACTTACACCTCAAAAATAGATTAATAGGTTAGAAAGAGCAGTACGAGTAAGAACTATCACTTAAATACACATTCAACACGATAAATCTCCGTTAAACATAAACAATCGAACCTCACGTCAAGAAAAACATAGTTCGCTGAGTGAACATCATATCCAGCTGCATTGTGTTTTACATTTAAATCCTGTAGAGATTGTGGTAACAGTTTTTCATTTTTTTAGAATTACTTCGTGATGATTATGAATTATTTGATTCTACTTCGTCATTATTACCATGTCGATGTTTAAATCGATCGCGTTCGAGTCCAATGATCACACAAATGAAATCATCAATAAAACGTATTCGACATCTATCATCACCATGTCCGTCAATACCAAGTGCAATGACTGTTACCACTACTGATTCTGGTTTAAATACATCAACTGGTTGTACAACAAGTCGTTCGCCAACACCTGATTTACATGAAGATATATCATCAATGACATTAGAAATTGATTCAATATTTAATCAAGCACTTATAAAAGAGAATAATTGTTCGAAACAAAAAAATAAAACATCTTTTCAAAAAATTAATCGATCTATTAACATTAAAAATACACAATCAGATCGAATAAAACGAGTTTTAAAAAGGTATATAGGCAAAGTTGTTTTTTTTTTGTAAATATGAATCTCTATCGTTTATTTTAGATTACAATGGTGTACAATAATAACTAGTTGTTCAATAGTTTTATTTATCTGGACTGTAATCATACGCTATTATTTTTTAACTTCACCAAATGATGATGATTGTAATCGGTTATCATTGGCTTGGTGGCCATTTGCTTATTGTTCAACAAATGGTATTACTCTTTAAATTCCTTTTCTTCTTTCTATATCTTATCTTCAATTCAAAAAGTATGAAACTTATGTGTATGTTTATTCCTTTTTTTATGTCTTATCCTCATATATATATATATATGTATGTATGTATATGTAATACAATAAAGATAATTAAATGTGTAAAATTTGTTCTGTATTGTTGCATCTTTTTTACAATTAAACCACTGATAGATCCTACATCGGCAATAAACGTTGGTTGACAATAGTTAAAATCGCCAAAGAATGTCAGTCTCGGCTGTGAAACGCGATCACAATGGTTAGTAGAATTCTGCGATAAGTAATATCAGCAAATACAATAAGGACATTGGACATCCTTCTTATTAATTGATGATTAATTTCAAATACAACAGCGCTGCAATTTCGAATTAATTCTCTAGTAGAGACTGTTTGTTTATAAATGTTCAGGTTTTATGGATCAAACAGATATGGACAGCGTAAGCGTAAGAATATCTGTATCAGCTTGATTTCAACAATAGCAAAATTACACTACCTCGGAAGGCATAAGTTCGATGCAGTCGTCCACTCACCAGAACTCTGGATCCGTCAGGGAATCACATAATTCCATTTAATCCACTACACCTATGATAGTACTTTAGAAAATTTTTGTATACGATGTCGTTTATTGTCGTATTTGCTTTGTCACTGCTATTAGTCCAAATACAAAAATAGAACATCATTTATTTTTTCTCGATTCATCGACAATTTATTTGCATACAAAGTAATACTCTAAAGCGTTATCTATGAACAAGTTATTGCTCAGTAATTTACCTTAATTAAAAAAATTACCAAAGGGTGTTCAAACTAGATAGATAATTAATTTCGAGGCTGTATAGAGATTTCATTAAATCTTGCAGAGTATTTGTTCGAAAAATAACAAACCTTTAATTTGTATTCTTGATATTTGTTCTTTTGTGTGTTTTATTGAAGAATAATTTTTTAATTTTATGAATATAGTTTGACTTCTATTTTGTAGGGATAATCGAATCATCGGATTCTCAACCAGCAGAAACTTTTATGGAATAAATATAATAAAAAGACTTGTTTTCATTGTAGGGTTTCAATTATCCGTACTTAGCGGACTCAACGTAATAGCACACGCCTCGCCAGATATCACTAAGATTTTTCTGAAGAGCATATGACTTGTAAGACTAAGACACATCTAAGAATTCAAAATTAAAGCCATTCTAATTTAGTAAAAGCAGACCTTAATATAAAATTTTGTATTGTTTATTTTCAGAGAATTTGACTAGGTGTGGGTTAGTTTTCTCTCTTCACTCACACCCATAGACACTTGCTTTCAAACTTGAAGTATGTAGAGGCACTAGTACAATTCGTCGCACGACAATTCGTCGCGAACAATTCGTCGCACGATCAATTCGTCGCGAACAATTCGTCGCAATCATGTCGTCGCATATAGACGAGAAGATACATTAATTGAATTAAGTGATTTAGTTTAGTATGTTATTTAATTAATCAACGCTAAAAATGTTTTCTATTAGAGTCTACTGACTCTTTGTTGATAANCGAGTTCGGTCTTCACTTTTAGAAGGTGGTCACAGCCCTCCTTGGATCCGCCACTGCATATGCATAAGAATGATAAAGGGCGCATCACATGAAAAACTAATTTTGAAACAGAAAATAAAACTATTAAGTGCAGGTACGCATAAGTTCTTCTTCTTCTCTCTCATCGTTAATGGAAGAATACAAGCACTAGAAACTTAAAAATAATGAAAACTGCATTCTCTTTATCTCTGTATATTTCATAAAAATTTTAAAATGTATCTATGGTATAACATACGTAAACTTCAAAGACGGGAGCGACTGCTACTCCTGCTGTCCTCTGCATCCGCCACAGCTGTGGACAGTATCAAAATTGAATTTTGAAATAGGTCAATATACTCATTCTAATACTGTATCCAAATCATCGAATATTTTCTTTTTGGTTTTCTTCAAAGAAAACGGTAAAATTATGATGCAATAAGAATTGATTTCATCTGATTCTATTTCTTCTAAATTAGCTTTTAGAAAAAACAAGTACAATAGCCTTGATCAATTAAACAAATCCAACAAGGAAGCTTGAATTTCGATGACAAATTAACATTCGAAGAACTTCATATATTCTCTTCAGCTGTTTGTTTTGTTGTGTCTTTCTTGCTTGTTAAATGTGAAATAACATTTGCCGATTATTTGTTGTAATAGCTAAACTTATTGTCTTCATTTTTATTTCTAATGATTAATTTACATTTTAGCTGACTTTTATGACTTATAAAATGCAACAAATAGTGCACGTTATTGCCATCAAAGCATCAGCAGATCGATGATCTACTAGTGACTAATTTTGAATCCAGTAAAATATAAGCTATCTTGACTTTTACATGTCATCAGCAATTACAGTAAAACCTCCCTATTGTGAACATCATCGGGACCATTTGAAAAAATAATAACGTTCTGATTATTTTTCTAGAAAATAATAAGTTTCCTATATAGTATACTCATGAATTATTTCACCAACTGATTCAAGTAATTCATTTCCTATTTGAGTGCTCTTCAAAAAATAACATTCATAGTGAGTATGTGAATGTTCAGAAATTTTTGACGTCCCTCTACTCTCTATTCAGATTTGTCCACTATTGACATATTTTCTCTCCTCTTTTGCTTGAACGTCCTATATCGTTAACCTTAACATATACCTGTACAGTTCCAAAACAACAGTGGCTTGATGCAGATGATATATGATTTTTTTTCCTCGAAACTCATCTATAAATTTAAAAGTAGTATATTTTTGTTGGCTATCTAAAATTTGAAGTATAAAGTTTTTGTTAAGTTACAGGAAAACTGTTTGAGCTTTTTATTGATCAATGTGACTTCAACGAAGTGGTATATCGAGATGTCATGAAAATCTCTAGACTACATCTACAGTAGTTTAGTTATTCTATATGACGCTTCGAAACTTTTTGACAGTGTTCACGATAAATAGATGAGATGAGAAGTATATAAATGAAGACACAATATAATTTCATTTCAACTTTATCATTATTTTAATTGTCTGTATTACATATGCTTGCGTGTGAATGCTAAATTCTATTACAAAATGTTCTTAATAAAATAAAACAATAGCAAAAATAAAATGTAATTTCATTTTAATGACAAGTCGGAAAAACTAAGAATATTTCTTTATTGATTTTTTTAACATTCTTGAAAAGTAGATTATCTCATATTCTTTTCAAACATTATAATTATAGTAGACTTCTTGCTGTTTAATTGCATTTCGATCTTTGGATATTTATTTGTGACACGCTATTTTTTTTTTAATATTAGCAATCATGAGTAAACTCTTATAGTTAACTTCTGTCATGATGTTTATCAAAATAAACAAAATGACAATCTTTATTGAAGAAGCAAACGTAGAAAAAAAAGAGAAATATTACAAATTTGTATGAGATAGAAAAATAAGATAGCATAACAAAATAGATTTGATTAATTTTTCGTAATAGGATAATGAATATGTTTATGAGCATAAATAAGCAATATCTTCTAATTTAAGACTAAATCTGTCTACACAACCAGCTAAAACATCGCCGGCCAATTTAAGTTTTCGTTCTTGTAAATTACTAATTCGTTCTTCAATTGTATTTTTTATCATTAATCGATAAATATGTACATCTCTTTGCTGACCAACTGTAAGAAAAAAAAGCACAATTTATTTTTCATAGTGAATAAAGAGTTTCAATTACTTCGATATATTCGATCACATGCTTGTTGTTCATTTTGTGGATTATAAGATAATTCACATAAGAAAAGATGATTACCACCAACAAGATTGAGACCTTCACCACCAGCTTTCAATGATAAAAGTAGAATCTAAAATAGAGATAAGAAATAAATATTTAAATTTAAAGAAATTAATCTTGACCATGTATTTCTTTTCATCACTATTAAATGCTTGTACAATTGCTTGTCGATCACTAATTTTAATTTCACCACTAATTGTTAGAGAACGTATATGATATTGTTTTAAATGGTGTCGAACAATATTGAGCATGCCTACCCATGATGAAACAACAACACCTATCATTACAAAAAATAGTTATCATACTACATATATGTTTCTAGGTTCCGAAAAATAGATATTCGTCCTGTCAAAGTTTTTAAAAATCGCTCCTCCGTAAGAGAAAATCTAGACAAAACACTAGTTTGTATCATGCAAATGAGGGCCTATCGAGATTTATCTATTAATAGTATGTATAACATATTTTTAATATACTAAAAGAAATTCGTAGTTCTTAAAATTAGTTTGCCCTATCAGTCATATAAATCCTAGAAGTTGCTGATTAGAAGCTACTGATTCTGTTTGAATATTGTTATAGATATGATAATAAGACAATAATTAATTCTTACATTTTTCTCCTTGTTGATTAACAATTAAATTAAGTTTGTTTAAAAGACAATTAAGTTTTGTACTTAAAAATGTAAGATCATATTGAAGTTCAGTATCTTTTGTTAACGATTGAATATTTTTATCATTTAATGTATCACTTAAATCTAATTTGAACATTGACAATTCTAATGCAACATCATCTTTATCATCAAATACTTCATCTGTTGATAAATCTTTGACTAATGATAAATGATTACATGCTTGACGTAATTTAAGCCTTAATGAAAAATAATGAATAAAATAAAATAAAAATATTTTTCGTATTAAAATATGTTTACATTAATGTAAAAAGAACAACTGTATTTGTTTTCTTTTTTTCACGTCGATTACGAATGAATAATTTATAAGCATCAGTCATTTCAGTTTTAATACGTTGATAATGTTTTATTTCTTCATCAGTTAATGTTAACCAAAGATTTTCTATTTGTTTAGATGGTAATGGTACAAGTAATTTACCATTTAAATCATAATCAGTTTTTGTTCGTCGAAGTATTAATGAACGTACAATTGTTTTCATACGTTCAATAGATTTATATTGATTTGATGAAAATAATTTCCATGTTGAATATATATCAAATGGTGAATAATGAAGAAAATGAAGAAGTGAATAAAAATCATCAGCTTTATTATGTATTGGTGTTCCAGTTAATCCCCAACGATAAATTGTATCAAGTGATGAACACGCTTGAGCTGTTTGTGATTTATGTGAACGTATTCGATGTGCTTCATCAAGAACAATTCGTTGCCATTTTACAGCAAATAATGGATTCTAAAATAATAATAATAGCAATAGTGAAATTTTCAATGTAAAATAAAATAATCTACTTTAATTTCACCCGATGTATATTCAGCTCGTACTAATTCATAAGACGTAAGTACAATACAATATTGTCCAAAAGCACGAATTGCGCCACCAGTTGGAATATCTTTTTTACGTGATGAACCATGATATATAAAACATCGCATACGACTATATTTAGTTATTTCACTTTCCCAATGACTCATAAGTGTAGCTGGACATATAACAAGTGTTGTTGGAATAGCTTGAATTTTTGTAGAATTGAATATTTGTTCGAAAGATTCTTGTTTTATTGAATTCATTCGAAGTTGAAGAAAAGCAATTGTAGTTACAGTTTTACCAAGTCTAAGTAAAAAACAAAAACAAAAACAAACATCATCAAATAATAATTAATAAAACTGTACTGTACCCCATATCATCAGCCAAAATTCCTACAGCATATGAAAACATTTGTCAGACAAAATCCATTAAAGTGAAAATTTTTACTTACCACCAAATGGTGGATTACTTTCACGCCATTCCATCCAAGCAAGTGCATGTCGTTGATAACCATGTAATGTAACATTACGAAGAGATAGTGGTTGTGGTGATTCTTGTTCTGGTCGTGGACATTTTTCCATATTAGCAATAAGTTGTTTCAAAGCCACTTCCACTTCAGGCATACGTTTTCCAATACTGAATAAATTTTGTGCTGATTGAATATGTTTTAAACTACTGATTGTTGGAGTTGGTGTGATAATAGGATCAATGATTTGAATTGTTCTCATTGATGAAGTACCATTTGAATTTGTTGCCTGCGGTGGAAGAACAAATGGACGTTGATTTGGTCGCCAACGAGCAGTAGGCATTGGAAATGCAGATAATTTAACATTCGGATTTCCGATGGATGTCTAAAAACCAGCTGTTCTTTTAAAATATGTTTATATGAATAAAATAGAAAGAAACAAAATCCTTTAAGTACTGTGAGAGATTTTATTAAATCAAAAGAAGAAAAAAAAAAGCAATGAATGAATGGCTTCGAAAAGAATACCTTGATTTCAGTTGTATTTGAAAATGAACCAAGTTTTGATGGTGGTTCAGGACGGCTCCAAAGTTCATTGAGTTTTAATTGAGTTGAACTCATCTGAAATTAAATAAACATGATTAATAATGTATTAAATAACAGAGAAGAAAGTTAGTTCCAACGCTCTGTAAAGATAATAAATTTCATACTGATAAACAGTAGAAACAAACAACATATAATATACTATTATGTATAATAACAGAAATTAAACAAAGCGAAATCCATAATATTATGAACAAGTAAAATAATTTATTTGTCGAAATTCATACACAAAAAAAAATCGTACATTTCATTTCATTCTTATGTGGTCAAATTTGATTTGAACGCTTTATTCCACATTGTATACATCAATCATAGATCGATCGAGTCGAAAACTTAACGAAAATTATAAGTAGTTGTCGTTAGTTATCGATAACTGATGTCAATGTGTAATCTCATCTTAGTGTAGCTAGGTACTCTTTATGATGTTTTTCTATTCATAGTAATGACAGTGTAGATGGTTGTTCGTTATCTAAAATGAATTTCGTTCATTAAATATAATAAGAACTTCTATTGTCTTTTGTATTAACCAGTTCTTCTGAGATTTTCTTTCACGAATATTTCATAGAATAAGAGTATAGATTAGTATCATAGTCATCGATCGAATTCGTATGATTTCTAGATGAATATACGAAAGAAAGTCAACTGTCTATATCTATTCAGCGAAATGATTAGAAAAATAAAGAGATGAAATCTGGCATGCATTGAAAAGGATTAAAGAATCTTTTTCATAACTTTTCTATGCAATAATCTATATTGTATTAAAATACAACAACATCATCCATGTTTATTTGACTGCATTTTATCAATGATATATCTAATAAATTTTTTATTTGTAACGTAATATTTCAAATATGCTAATTGTTACGTTATTAGTCTTTGATTGATAGTCCAGTTTCTTTTTATTTCATTTACAATTTCCCTTTCAATCAATTTTCAAAATGGAATGTTATTTTAAATTATGATACTAATATTATGAAATATGAAAATTTTCATGCTCTCCTTCTGTTTAATCTGAAAACTAGAAATCTTCATATTGTGTACAACAAAATCTTGTTTCATTGGCAATTAGATTTTCTTAATGAATAGTAGTTTGAAGCTCTACTAGCTGTCAAACTACTAACATCAAGAAAGCTGATATTGATGTGAATAAAGATCATCTTTGAGACGATGTTTTTTTATTGTCCTTGATAATCTTCCTAAGAGAACGTCGTTTTACTGCGTAAGTTATTCACGTGCGTCATGTTTCAAAACATGGCGAAAGAAATCTATTAATTTGTCAATGAGGTTTGAGTAGATCGATTATTATCGTTCGTCTCTCCACTCATCAGCCTGCAAAATTACACATGAATGGTTTAAACAATGCTCTATTCATATTTATAATGACATATATATTATATATATACATATTTGATGAAATTATTTGTAATAAGATATTATATTCTTTCACAAACATTTAAAAATAATTGTTTTTTTTCTGCGAAATATGTTTCATCGTGCTGAAGCTGCATTAGCTAGAGGTCTTGGTCTGGGTGCATATGAATTATATCATCATCAGCAATATGGTAATTTTGGTTTTGGACATCCTTATCATCCTGGTTTTGGATATGGTGCTCCATACGGATATGGTTACGCACCCTTTGGACATCACCACTATGGATATCATCATATTTTTTAAAAGAAATATTGTATATTTTTTTTTAACATTATAAATGTGCTCTCTATTTTTATTATAAAAATACAACGATTAAATTTTTAAAAGGGCTCAAGTTTTGTTGTTTTATAAGTTTGATTCTACAAGTTTGGATAAGTTGGTAAAGTAATCTAATCTAAAGAATAGATAACTATTTTAATTTGTAATAGGATGTCATACAAAATTCGTGGTCTACCTTTTTAATCATCGTGAATGAAAGATCATGTAGAAAATTCTATAAGTTCAAAAATTTAGCATTCTCTGAGTAACTTTTGAATAGACATGAAAGAATCATTGAAAGTACTTTCATTAACTTTTAAAATAGTGATTATACGTTTTTGTTTTTCGTTAAGTCAATCAAAACAAAACTGAATAATACTTTAAAAGATAGATTAAGTTTTGCTCTACACAGCTGTATATTTAGATCTTGTTTAAATAGCTTTTTGATAATTATCTGCTATTTTTCATTAATTCTACAAAAAAAATCAAAAAACATTCGGACCGACAATNAATTTTGCTCTACACAGCTGTATATTTAGATCTTGTTTAAATAGCTTTTTGATAATTATGTGCTATTTTTCATTAATTCTACAAAAAAAAAATCAAAAAACATTCGGACCAACAATAGATTCTTGTGAGTTCGAACGAACGCAAAAAGCTACGCAAGATGCAGCTAAAAAGTATCCAAAAGATATACATAGTGTATTTTAATTTAGTCCACAAGATCAACTACCATTGCTTGTATCTAGCACTGTTTTATGCTATATTCAAAACTTGTCAATCAAATGAAAACATAATTAAGAGGTTTTTTGCAACGTAAAGAGGTTTTAGGTGTGAGTGTTTGCTCGTTATCTAAAACAACTCTTGTTTAGCAAACATAACCAGTTTCATAATCATTGATCGAATTCAACGAAGTAATTAGGAAAATAAAGACATGGAATCTGGCATACATGGAACAGGATTAAAGAATTTTTTTTCATAACTTTTCTATAAAGGTTAATTGACTGCAATAATCTATATCATATTAAAATACAACAACATCAGCCATGTTTATTTGACTGCATTTTATCAATGATATATCTAATAAATTTTTTATTTGTAACGTAATATTTCAAATATGCTAATTGTTACGTTATTAGTCTTTGATTGAAAGTCCAGTTCCTTTTTATTTCATTTATTATTTCTCTTTCAATCAATTTTCAAAATGGAATGTTATTTCAAATTATGATACTAATTATGAAATATGAAAATTTTCATGCTCTCCTTCTGTTTAATCTGAAAACTAGAAATCTTCATATTGTGTACAACAAAATCTTGTTTCATCGGCAATTAGATCTTTTTTAATGAATAGTAGTTTGAAGCTCTACTAGCTGTCAAACTACTGACATCAAGAAAGCTGATATTGATGTGAATAACGTTCATCTTTGAGACGATGTTTTTTTTATTGTCCTTGATAATCTTGCTAAGAGAACGTTATTTTACTGCGTAAGTTATTCACGTGCGTCATATTTCAAAACAATGGCGAAAGCAATCTATTCATTTGTCAATGACGTTTGAGTATTTCAATAATTAGCGTTCGTCTTTACACTTATTAGCCTGCAAAATTACACATGAATAAATTAGACAACGCCTTTTTCATATTTATAACGGTATATATATATAAGGCGAAATTATTTGTAGTAAGATATTGTATTCTTTAACAAGCATTAAATAACTGTTTTTTTTCTACGAAATATGTTTCATCCTGCGAAAGTTGCATTAGCTGCACGTCTTGGTCTGGGTGCACCTCAATTCTATCGTCATCACCGATATAGTAATTTTGGTTTTGGATACGGTGCTCCATACGGATATGGTCACTCGGGATATACACACATCCGCCACCGTGGACATCATTATATTTATTAAAAGAGATGTTGTACTCTTTTTTTAACAATGTTATTCTAGCTTTTATTTTCATTATAAAATTACAGAAATCAAATTTTTAAAAGGCCTGAAGTTTTGTTGTTCGGTTAGTTTAATTCTACAAATTTGGACTAGTTGATAAAGTAATCTAATGTAAAGGATAGATAAATACTTTTTGAACATACTTGAAATTGTAACGTATTAAATTGTCATCAAGTATCAGATGAAGTTTCAGAAGCAGAATTCTCATGAATGATCATAATCTTCTCTACCATTCACTGTTCAATGAATTTTTACGAAATACATCATATTTCATTGCCGTGCTTAAAAAAATTATCAATGACGCTTTTATTGTTTATAATTATTTTGACATATTCAAAACCCGAATACTTATTCGGACAATTGAAATAAAGAATAGATTTAGGTTAGTTTGCCTGCCGACAATGAATAAAAATGTTTACCTAATATAATAAACAACTGTATGCATGTGAATCAAACAATCGTTCAGAATTGGTCTCTATATAAATAGGCATTAAATAATAAATGGAGGAAAACTTACAAGAACAAAACGAAAGAGATCATATGACAAAGTAAATATAAATCATCTCATAGAGACTTCATACTCGAAAGTCCAATAGTTCAAATACGGAAAAACATTATAAAAAAATCTGTAATATCATTTTTTTTTAAATAAACAAAACGTTGAGGCACTTAAAATATCATCAAGTATCTGTAGAAAAAGTCTCAGCTCGATTGGGTATACTATGTCTGAGAAACTAAGCTAATTCTGTTTTTTTTGCGTACATCTGATAAAACGAAGTTTCCTTATTTTCCAATAAAAAACAAAGAAACACCTTATCTTTTCGTTTTTTTTTTTTTAATTTCAAGGTTATATTTCGAAACATATTCAATAGATCGAAGACATTTAAAAGCATATGTAGAGTAAAAAACAATCAGAGAAATGTTCTCTTAAATTGCTTCTTGCTTTCAAAACCAAGACTTAAGTATTTAGCGTTGATCACTAGGATGGGTCTTTATTTATTTCAAAAAAAAAAGAGAAAGCAAAAAAAGAAAACAAAATAAATATACAAAATATCATCATATAACAGTTTTTATTTCTAATTTAGAATCATCATTTTCTGTTATTTCATCTTGAGTCGTAATATATTTTGTAACTGCTGGAAATTGTTTACAAAAAAACTTATCAAATTCTTCATCTCCCATTCGTACAATATGAATACGAATAAATTCTATAGCACCCATGATATCGGGATGACATATTTCATGAGGTCGTAAATCGCTGAGAACAGCTTTAAACCGAATAACCGTAGGTTTATCACTTGGCTAAAAAATAAGCAGACAAAACAAAAAGCAAAATAGTCTAATTGAATTATTCCATTTATAGAAAAAAAGAAAAATATTTACA